GTATTAGCTTAGTCATTTGCATTTGTCCTTAATAACTGATATGGCTCTAATGCAGATGAGGTAGAGCATTTTCATCATTAGTCCTGGGAGTGCCTTTCCTGCCTTCCATGGCAGCGCTGGGTGAAGCAATTCAGGAGAGGGGCACAAGTTCCAAGTCTCCACCGTGAGATCCCTTCCAGTTTCAGGCGCTGTTGTGCTCTCAGATTGAAAGTAAAACATCAAGATCTTAATCCAGGAGTGAAGGTTTCCATGGCTGTCCCAGTGACTGCTGATTTAAGAAGCAGGGAAGAAGGCAGCTCCTGTTTGGCTGTTTCCCAACACCATCTGATTAGCTGCACTTCTCTGTTTGGCTGAGCAGCTGGCAATTAATGGATTGATAGGAAGTAGTCACAAGGTAATGGAATTAGTGAGTGAACATCTGGTATTAAAATCAGTAAATGTAGGGGTTTTTATGATTTCTTAAATTCTGTGAGAAAATAATTGCCAGTTGACTACAACTGAAACAACTATATGTACACAGTGGAAAAAAAAAGTGCATTTTAAATGGCAAAGTACATATTTTCTGCGAAAGACTTCCCTATACGCTGCAAAAGATGAATGGGATCCAGCTGGCTTTCAGACACACAGATCCTATCTTGGTTTTTAGACCAGCTGTTTACCTTGTTCATCTCCAGTACCTACAGCAATCACAGGTACTATAAGTAGCTCAGAAGACCAACAAGTCACCCCAGCCTTTGTGTGTGCTCATTTCCAGGTGGTATGACTCAAAATCCAAACCAAACTGCTCTTCTCTAGCCCAGGAATGGCTGTGACCATCCTAGTTCTTGTTGGCATCAGTTCAGGGGTGGCACAGCTCCTGCTTCCTGTGGCAGGGATATTCTTTTCCCTGGAAAAGCCGAAATTGAGTAGTCTATCAGTTAAGGACTGTAAACTTGACAGCAATATTTAAAATCTACTGGTTATTAGGATTCAAACAGTGTTAGTATCAAGTAAGGTCAATTGGAAAGAAATACATCTTATTATTAACTAAAAAAAGGCAGTGTTAGCAAGTCTTTGCTGGCTGGAATTGTAAATTGTGTTAACTTTTCTTGTTCTTCTCCCTTGGTGAGGACGGGATTCAGACAGAGAGGGGGGAGCAGAGGTGGCTCAGCAGGGAAATGGGGCTGGAGACTCTGCCTGCCCATCCTGGCTTCACAGACCCCTCCAGGGAGTCAGGCTCTGGTTTCTAGAATTTTTTTATTTCTAGATTTTTTTTTATTTCTAGAATTTTTTTTTTTATTTCTATTCTCTATTTTGAGAATATGAATGGAGATCTTGTAGCCGGGGGGAGGGTGAGGTGTGGCATAATGAACATCCCACTGTGCAAGTTAATGCTGGGATTTTTTTCTGCCAGTTCCTCTTGTTTTCCCATCATGGTCAACATCAGAAATCTTTCTTACAACTCTTGAAAACTCTAATGTTGGCCTAAAGCCCGTAGAATCTCCATTTTACCTTCCTTTCCATTTCATTAGATAGGGTGAATTCCAGCCACTGCAGAGCTCTGTAGAGTAGAGCAGCAGCACCTCAATTAAATATGAAATATCAAGATAAATGTGTGAATAAAACATCCAGGACTCAGACAAACTTCCAAAACTTGCTTGTCAGCAGTGAAATGCCATTAAATCCTCTAGGAACTCATTAATAGATTAACATTTGGAAGAGTAATTACAACTACGTTACAACTCAGAATAAAGAAAAATAAAAAGGATAATCCAGCAGCATCATTTCTCTAAACTCTTGACATAAAAGGAAGATCAATACTATAAAAAAAGCAGAGCTAAGGAATTAAGATGATTATGTCAAAAATAGGTAAGCTGTTCATATATATTTCAAATAAAACTACTGTGTAGTATTTGCTATTATTGGTGTGGAATGCTCTGTCACAGGGGAGGGAAGAGGGATATTGAGCTGAAATCAAGGATCTGTCTGGAAATTGGGTGAGTTCATGACTTCAGTGCCTTTCAGCTAAATCACAACTAAAATCAACAATGTCAAGCTTTGTAGCTGCATTTTCTGAGGCACAGAAGGACACTGATTTTTAGTGAGACAAATATATTGCCCTTCAAGAGGATTAAATACTGGAAAAGTCCTTTTTGAGAATTTATGTTACAGCTCTGTAAAGGAAGGAAAAAAGATGAGATAAAGTAGGTACTGTAGGTAGATAAATAGGTGAGATCTTGAGAAATGTTTTCATTTTTCATAAAGTTCTCACAATCTGTAGAACCTTTATATATAAGTAATTCAGTTATAACCTGGAATATTAATCTTGCAAATTTATGAATATGAATAAATATAAATGTGGAAAATATTACTTTATTTAGGAATGTTTCTTTATTACTGTGAGTTTACCTTGTGTGTGACCAGACTGCCCTGCACGGTGCAGGGCGAACTGAGCTATTTTCAGCGAGAAAAAAAAATATGAAAAGTAACGAGGTTATAAAATACAAAGATGACAAATCAAATGAAGTCATCAATGTGTAAAACAAAATGTTAAGATTTTAGATTTGCAATTTTCCTATTTAAATGCCCTCATTGATTTGTTACAAATACTGTTAACCCTGTGTTTGGAAAATGGTGAGGACATTATCACTTGTGTTCTCATTTGTAATAAAATAGATTAACTTGCTGTGAAATTTTAACTAGGCTGAGACACAACAGTAGCTACCTAATGAACCAGAGCACATTGCTGTTAAGTAGCTAAATAGATGCATACTGATTACAGGACTGAAAAATGGATCTGTTTACCAGCAAAAGAAGAGTCTGCTCATAGCATTATTCATTATAGGAGGGGAAATTCAGCACATTTCTACATAAATATTTAGAAATGGACAATTTCTTGATCCGTATGCAGCCTCACATGGTGATAATCCATCCTCATTTGGGGTATATATGATAGAGAGGGAATTTCAGCTCCTTTGTTGCTTAGAGGGAAAGCTCTGCAGTCCCAGTGCCTGTTCATTGGTGTAGCTGGTAAGACATTAGATAAAATAATCAACTAATTCCCTTAGAAAGTGACTTGCTGTGTGATTTAGAAGGACATTTTTATTTGACACTTGTACATCTGCCTGAAGATTTCAAACCAAGACCCTGAGTCTGAAGGCAAATTACTGCAAGCAGAGATTATTTCATAGTGAGAGACAATGGGAAATGCAGTTACCAGAAGGAGCTGGAATACTTTGCTTTTCCAAATCATCAGCTTTTGAATTACTCAAATAACTCCCATTTAAGATGACATATATGGCTGTTTGTGTGATATCTAAGTGTTAATTCCTAGTCATATTTGTTCATAGGGTTTTTTTGCAGAACAGTTGGCATGTCCTCTCCTTGGCTATTCATTTTCATGGTTGCAGTAGACAATGAAATTTACTTAAACTATGCACTCTTCTGTAAAATTAATCATTTCAAAATGATATCTTAATTGTAAATTGAGTGCTCTTTGTGGTTAAAAGAGAGGAAATAGTGCCAAGGAGGACTGTTAAAACTGAAATCCATGCAAATGAAATTGCAGTCAGTGTTGTAACCTGTTAGCAGGAACCTATTTGGAAGCTATTATTTGCACAAAGGTAAAAACTACACAGGATTTATCACTCAGGATTGCATGTGTGTGGTTTGTTATCTAGGACAGTACTTTTTGGGGTAAGAATGTGACTTTCAAAAGCAACTCAGTAAGCAGCACATCCACGAAGTCCCAACTCCATTCTACTCATCTGTTCATCTCAGCAACCTCCCAACCCTCTCTTTTGGAGGCCAAAAGGAAGAAAACACAATTCGGTGAATTGGATCTTTTTTTCCTCCCACAGAATTTGAAAACTAATTTGTATAAAACCATTCAGTTTTCAAAATGATAAAAACTTGTGACTCAACATAATACACTCATATCTGATCATTAAAAGTCTCCCTTTCAGATCTATTAGTTACTGTACATTCATTAAATAACAGATAATTAGTGAAACTGATCCATTGGGGATTAACAGCTATGTAATAGATACACATCTGTTACATGGTTTTGGGGCTGGGTTGTTATTTAACGTACAATAACAATCCTATTAAAACCAGGTCTGGTGCCACATTCTCAGCTGGTGTGGTTGGAATAGGGAAATGCCATCCCATGCTCTGAGGAGGATCCAATCTCATGTTCCCTTTGCATAACTCCCAGAAGTATCTGTAAATACAAAGATGAGTGTGGCTTAGAGGGATGGTTTTAATGGGTAACAGAATATTCTTGTTGATGTTGCTGGCAGTGTAATTTATGAATTGCCCTGATACATCCAAACAGCAGTTTTTATATCAAGGATTTATATTGGAAAAACTTCTAGGAACCACCATGTGCTTCCCAAAGCTACATTATTAGAGGTTAATATCAAAGTTTCTTGTGCAAATATAAACGTGACATTTTGCATGCAGACTCTTGTTTTGCTTAACCACTGGTGCTTTTCATGCAAGAGGGAAGTTTGTACCAGAGCCACAGCATTTATCATTTGTTCCGGTGCTGTCCTGAGAAGATACTGATGTAATTTATTCAGGTACTGATTCTAGTTACAAATTCACAAGTACAGATGCTAATTACAAATTTGACTGCATTTAGTGACAGTTCAGTCCAACTGTGAATTGTTTATTTGAAATGTGACTCATATATGGCAATTTCTCTACCTGTAGATTAAAAGTAGTTTGTGAAAGCAACATGAAAGAATATTTTATATGTTCCTACATGAGAAAAACTTAGAACATAGAAAGTTGCCAACAAGAAAAAGGTGGCAAATGATCAGCTAAGCTCAGCCACGTTGTTTGTAGAAGCCAGTGTTGGTTTTGGCTGTAGATGACTACACTGCTCTTAGACACGAGTTCTGTTCTCTGTTTACCTCACCAACACCATTTGTTGCCATTACTTTTAAGCCAACCACACTGTTTTAGCCTGAAATCGTGGATGAAAGGGCCCAGCCTTGCTTTGCTTCTGTTTGCAGGAGAGGATCCAGGACAGCCCTTCCCCGGCGCCGTCCCTGGAGGACAGCCAGCGGCCCGGCAGCCACGCGTCCTCGCACCCCAGCAGCAGCGTGTCCAGCTCCCCGTCCCAGCTGGACACCACCCCCGACAGGATCGGTCAGTGCCGCCGCCTCGCGCCCCTCACAGCCTCTCACCTTCCCTCACAGCCCCTTGCTCCCCTCACAGCCCCTTGCTGCCCTCACAGCCCCTCACAGCCCCTCGCTCCCCTCACAGCCCCTCGCGGCCTTTGTGTGCTGGGAATGTGCGGGGAAGCGCTCACTTGATACGGAATACGTGGGAAGTTCATCCCTTGGTTTTTTAGTTAAAATTAAATACAGTCTCAAGGTGCGTCAAGGGGAATACAGCCTGGATGTCAGGAAGGAGTTTTTTACAGAAAGGGTGATGAAGTTCTGGAATGGCCTGCCCAGGGAGGTGGTGGAGTCACTAGCCCTGGATGTGTTAAGAAAAGACTGGATGTGGCACTGGGTGCCATGGTTAAGTTGAGGTAGTCATGGACTCAATCATCTTTAAGGTTTCCCAACCTAGTAATTCTGTGAATTCTCTGAAGTTCATCACTCAGCAGAGTCCAGCCCCTCCTCTTGGGTTCCTTCTGTGCCTGTATCCCCTGCACAGAGGGATCACCCCTCTGTGATCCTCTATGATCACCCTCATCCTTGCACCCTTCCCTGTTCCAACCATCTCCCTCAGTGTGCTTGGGTAGGGAAGTGCTGCTGAAGGCACCTGCTGTTGAAAAAGAGCAAGGTGTGCATGTGTGTGAGGAAAATCGCAAATTCTATGATGACTTTTTTGTTCCAAAAACCTTCTTGTGCCCACACATTCCTTCATCACCCCGAGGCTGAGGCCTTTCTGGCTTTTTTGGTCCCTCCACCACAGCTTTCACAGCCTGTGCACTATCGATTAAAATGCTAATTCCGTCTAGAGGAAGTTTAGATCCTATTCTTGGTGCTTCCAAGAGGGATCTAGGGCAAGTCAATTAACATCTCCTCACGTCAGTGTGTGTCAACACTGCTGTCTCCTCATGGCCTGGAGCCTGTGCAGGCATTGCTGAGCCAGATTTAACCACAGAAGCCGTGCACTCTGGGTGAGTCACTGGAGAACTCCTCCCATGCACAACCTACCCCTGGGATTTTGCAGTTCTGAGCCCGGTCCTTGCAGCAGCACCAGAGCACTGCCCAGCACAGTGGATAGAACCTGAATTCTTTGACTAAATCTGTGCACACACAGAGACTGTGAAGTAGATTTCCCTCATCTTTTTCTTGTAAAATAACACTGGAAATACACAGGACAAGAAACTTTTAACTCCCTGTAGCAACAGTGAAAAGAGACTGTTGATGTCTGTATTTAGAGATCTAGTTTTGATATGGATAAAAATTTTTCATTAACAGAATTACAATGATTTTTACTTTTGCGATTATAAAAGAAAGCTCTCCCTAAAACATGGTGATGAAGTTTGTAACAAGTGTCCTCCCTGGAATTACTGTGAAGTCTGTAATTGGTGGAGTGCAGAGAAGGAAATGTTTTAATCAAATAAGAACAAAGAAAGAAGCATTCTGAAGTCATAAACTGCAGGTGTTAAGTGAAGAATTCCCTTCAGCACTGAAATGTTGAAGGGTGTTTTGCTGTCACCAATCCATTTGGGCTATGATCTGGCAATCTGTGGTTTTTATTAAGCTTACTGCTTTATAGATAATTACTAATACTTAAATCTTTAAATGCATTTTTCCCCAAAATGGTTTTTGGGAAGTACTTTTCCCTCTAATTAATTAATTTGAACATTTCATAAGAAATCACATTCATCTCAGTAGTCATTTGTGTTCTGTCTTGGTATCCTTATCTAATAAACTTAAGCAGATTAGCTTTTGACTGCATATTTTACTTGGCTCTAAGAGTTAAAATACCAAAATACCAACTAAAAGGAAATAGAATTTAATATTTTCTTTTCTCTTAATGTTTTTATATAACTGTGCCCTCTGATTTTTTTTAGCCATGCTGACCAACAGCAGGGAAGGAGAACTCATTGACCAAGAAACTGGGACCAGCCTAAAAAAAATACAAAAGGAGAAAGGTAAAATCACAGACTGTTTTCCATCTCAGGCATATAATTGCACTTATTATGTGTTTCATTCCTTTTTCTCATGTTCTGCATATGCAATGACATTATATTACTAATTTAAGAGAACTAAGTGCTTAATTGCAATGAATAATGTATCCAGTGAACTCACATGGAAGTGTAAGCAATGAGAACTTTGCTTCTCTCTGTTTATATAGCATGAGGGTAATATTTTGCAGGTCTTTTGGCTCAATTATTTATGAAGTTCCAGGCAAATATTTGATCAGTCATGTGCTATTGTTTGTTTGCCTTCAGGGGATGTGTGTGCAGGCTGCTCTGATGCTCTGGGTGAGCAATATAATTTTATATTGTCTCACCAGTGAGGGGCAGCAAGGGAAGAGGTGATGTTTGGCCTGGGGGGATTCTCCTGTGGGCAGGGAAGAGCTTTCTCTGCCGGGCTCTCCTTGCAGAGGTTCCTGGGTGCTGGAGGAGATGAATACTCAGGGATTTATTCTGGGAAAACACTGCAGAGAGGTGTTATGGGGGATAGTGAGGTTTTAGACTGAAAAAGATGTTAAGAGAAAGAGAAGGAAGAGAAGACATAAACTAAATGTACTTGTTAGTCTGCTGAGAATATTCATATTTATCATCATAAATGAAAGCACAAACTGATTTATATTTTGCTTGAGGTGATTTTCGTGTATTTTCAGAGGAAGCTAAAAGGCAAGCATAGACAATTTTACGGGCTACTCAGAAGAGAATTTGGAGCCCTTCTGTGCCCTGTGGTTCTAGAGTTATATAAAATTATTTGAGCAGTGTCAGGGTTTTGTTCAATCAGCTCTATTCCTTAGAGGTCTGTGACTGATCCAGTCATGGGGAGGAAGAGCCTGAAACTTCCTCCTTATATTTTGCATTTCTGTACTCAACTCTCCTTGAAGACAGAAGCTGTTTTCTATTCACTGGTTTTTCTGGACATTTAAGCACTTTCCTCATGAACCCCAAAAGAGCCCTTCTGTGCCATTCTGAGGTAATTTTCTGTCTGGATCATCCTGCTTAAATCCTTCCCTCTTGACTCCTGTTGACATTTACAGAAAGTTACCAGCCCTACCTTCACTCCTAAGATTTAAAAATTACATTTCTGTAGTAATTGCATAGTGAGTATTTAATCTAAGCTTGAAAGTGTAGTTGATTATAATTCTGTTGAACTGTACATGGTTTCTTGCCACATGTTCAGTAATTTTTCAGTGAAACAGTTCAGTATCCTGTGGGGTTCAAAGATGCAAATCATGTACTTCTTGGTAGTAGCAGTTCTGTCACTCAGGACGGATGAAGGAAGGTACAGTTTAAAAATCTGAAAAAATAATTCAGAAATCCCCAAAGCGAAAACAATTGAACCTCCACCACCTGTGAACCCAATTCCCAGGCTGCTGTGATCGTTCCTTTTAACATGGATGAAATCACAAAGATCTGATGCTAACAGTTTGTGTGCCATAATTCTCCTTAAGATTAAAGTTGTGTAGGTTTATTCATTTCCTAGTCTACATTTTTGCATAATTTCTTTAATTGATTAAGTACTGGGAAATACGTCTTTATACATGTGTTAGTTCTGCATGCACTTAGGGGATGTTTTTGGAATTAATTTAGTGTGCAGAGATCCACCTGCATCAGAAAAAAAGCTTTGAAATCATGAGACATTTTAAAATATTATTTTAGAGACAACAAAGTTTCTCCTTTTCTGCTTGGTCTGCAGATGTCAAGTTTTGCTCAGAAAATATGAGGATGAGAAATTTATTTTTTGTTGTCATATACAGATGTGATTTTTCAAGTCACCCCATGGCTCCAGAACCAGAACCTTTTGATGAGATTATAATGGGACTAATACAGAAATTGTAAAGCACCAACCTTTATATCCAGCATTCCACACTGATTTTGCATTTATGAGCGAGACAGACGTACAGTGCACTTTCTGTAGGAACCACTGGGTTGGTCCTCAATGATTTATCCCAGTCCTGTGTGGATTCTTTGTTCCTAATACTGCTTTTGTTTTCTCCTTTATAATTATGTTGAGCTCAGTTATGTTGAGTGTTTTAGAGTCAGGTGTGGACAATGTGAGGAGTGGGATCTGTGCTGCCTTGTCCTGCAGAAAACATCCACGTAATTTGTATACAGAGCAAGCTTTGTTTTTCCAAACCTGCCATTGCTCTTACCAAGGCAAAATATATTCACCATGGAAAAGATTTTCAAAGTTATTAAGAAGGAATGTAGTTAAAATAAAAGTATCAACATTTATTAAGTATGACAAGTAAGCGGTTTATACAACCGTGGCAAACATATGTTTTCACATCTGTTTTGAGTAATATCATCATGATTTTAAAAATGATTTATAGCTCTGCAGGCCATAAAATGCCAGCTTTGCTGTAAGTTGGAAGTTTTCAAACAACAAAGAAATTATTGAAGGCATATATTGAACGTGTGTTTGTGTTATACACCTTGACATAACTTCACAAAGCCGAGCTCTCTACAACAATTAAGATAACAACAATTGAAAATTAAGGAACTCAAATTTATCAGGAGTACTATTTATTGAAACCTTAGCATTAAAAAAATGATTAAAGTTATTGTAATGATTATAGACAAAATATCTCTCAGGATACACAGATTTTGTTTTCCATATCCCATTTTACGTGATCTCAGCAATAGACAAAATTGTGCCACTTTGTTCTCATCCAAGTCATTTCAGGGTAATTAGGGTGAGGAGAACATGGCTTCCCAACAGTGCTTCTTTGAAAGACAGTTAATATGAGGTTGTTGCAATTCCTGTGATTTGTTTGCATGTGTTGGTGGGGCAGAATTTCCAGAATTGGTGTTGTCTCATTGCAGAGCCTTTAGAGCCCAGTTACAGCCATACCTGTAAGCTTTTTTTTGATGGAGAAATGCCATTAAATCTCAATTACTCTGCTTCTTTTCATCATCCTTTTAGAGGAAATATGGTCAGATTTAACATTAGAGGGCAACAAAGTTAAACATCTTTGGAAGTCTGCATGGTTTGGGGTCTTTATATATAGAGCTCAAATTGTTTTTACTGCATGGATTACATACAGTACTATATTTTTGTCAAATGCCTTTTTCTGGCATGTTACACCAGCATTTTGCCTGTGCATCTATTTCTGAGTGAAAACCATATCAAGAGTAATCTGCACTTTATTTTGAAATCACTAGTTCAAGGAAACAGTTACAACCCCCCCCTAGAACACAGCCCACATTTTACCTGCACAATTACTCACAGAAACTACACTTTAAATTCATCTGCTTCAATACATATCCTGGAAAAAGTCTCTATTGTGTGGGGTGGGATTGTGTTTGACACAGCCCTGTATAGGCTTTGCAGAAAGCTCCATATGAATTCTGGCATTGGGAAGGTGAAATGAGCCAGAAAAGAATTTGGCCGTGCCTTCCAGCCGGATTTAGATGCTGGTACAATTATTCTGTTTGACTGCATGACAAGAAATATTTCAAACTCCTCACACAGGCTGGAGCACTAAAAGGCACTGGCCCAGCTCTTGCCACAGTGAAATCAGTGAGGATGTACAGAATGTCTTTGACCAGTTTGACCAAAGCTTGGTCTTTGGGAAGGTTTTTCCCCCAGCTCGTGCTGCTGGTTGTTAAGTAGACATGGCTAACATGCTCACATGGGGTTTGGGGTGCAAACCAGAGGAAAATATTGTAGGAAAATTCCATTAGTGACCCTATTGTCAGACTTACCCACTGTTTGTGCAGTCTGTGAGTACAAATAAATAGGATTTGTGCTGAGAAGGGGACATGGCCTGCACTCCCAGAGCTGCTCCCTCCTCCAGCCCATCCTGCATCTCCAGAGCCCAAATCCAGGCTCTGGGGCTGTGTCCCATGGCCCAGCCCATGGCAGTGTCCAAACTGCACCTGGCAGCTCTCCCTTCCCAGTTTATTAAAGAACACCTTTGCTTTTATTGCTTCAAGGAAAGGGGAATTTTGCATCATTTCTGTCCACTGAGTGAAATATTTTCAGATGGCCAGAGACCACGGTAATGAAAGAATAACCATATTTATTTATTGGATTTCATTAGCAGAAAAGAGGGTTTATGCTGTTTAAATAATTCACTGCCAAAGGACCGGGCTATTCAGGATGTGAGGGGAGGAGAATGAGCAGGTGCAGAACACCTGAAACAGCAACAGGCTGGGGAGGGCTGTGCTCCAGAGAGGAGACTGGCCCAGCAATTCATCTGAAAGCATCCAGATGGAAAGGGGAAGGAAGGGGAAGGAGAACAAGGAGCACAAAGCTGAACCACACGGTGGCTGTGCAGAGTGTGGAGGTGCCAGCACCTCACATGGTCCCTGTGCTGCGTGTTTAACATGTCAGTACTGGCAACCTAAAGATATAATGAGAAAAAAGCTCTTTTCTTCACAAGTGTGTTCATGAATACATGAAGAACTCCCCAAATCAGGAGTGACACTGTGTTCATTCTGGTCTCTGAGTGTGTTTGTCACAGACCTGGGGTTGTTTCATCAGCAGTGGGTGCAATAGTACATAAATTTAAAGGTTTCTTTTTCCCAAAACCTTGAGTGACATGTGCAGTGCAAGTGTCCTCTGGATAAGTTAGAGATATTTTTACATTTTCTATCCTCAGAGAATACCGAAAGATAAGAAGCACAGTGCTCTATTCTGGGTGGAGGCATTTTCCACAAGTCTTTTTTTGTTTTTGAATTTAACCTGCAAATGAACTGGCAGCTGTTAAAAAGGTGGCCTAATAGTAGATGTGATTGTCTGTCAGTCAGTCAGTCCAAAAAAACCCAAACCCATAAAACCAAGGCAGACTCTGTTAACACTTAGATTCACAAAATGTAAATAATTAATAAAGGTAAAGCTTTAATTTTTGAAGTGTCTGTACTCATGATGTTATGATTGTGTGCTTAACCATTGCTGAAAGATTTATAAATATAAAGGCAATTATGCAAGAGATGCTGGTGAAGTGCTCCAAGGT